TATTCTTTCCATTTTTATTTATTTCTTTTTGGCGGAACCAGGGATTGAACTCAGGCCCCTGCGCCTGCCAGGCAAGCGCTTATTTCACTGAGCCATCTCCCCATCCCCCAACTTTCTTCAATTTTAAAGTAGCACAATTTATAAAGTTTTTCTTTTCCAGGTTAGGCTGACCTTGAACTTTACTATGTACCCTTAGGCTGGCCTCAAAACTCCTGAGTGCTACGTTTATAGGTGTGCACCCACAACACATGGCTAATGTTTTTCTTTCCATGTATGAGGAAGGAAACATATGCAAAGCTGAACTGAGAGGACCTGATATGACATACTCAGCCACTCTTTGGTATGCTGAGTGCATTGGAAAGTCAGCAAAGGATCCACTCAAAGAGAGAAAAATGATGAAGCCTGCTTTAAGAGTTCATTTTTACTGTAGTTGTACAGAATGGATTGGAGCCAAAATGGGAGTGGCAGAGGAGTTAGGAAATTGTTGCAGTAATCTCAGTTGTGGTCAAAATGCTACATGGGTGGTGATGAGAAAGGAGCAATGAGTTTGCTTTTAAGAAATATGTAGAATATAGAACCAATAGCATTTGGTATCTGACTGGTATATTGAAGCAAAATGGTTTCTAGGTTATGTGTGTGATGGGGATCACTATTATGGTTCTGCAGTGGGGGATAAGCAATAAACCTGCCTGCAGAAAACAATATAGGAGAATTAAAAGGCTAGCAAGGGACCAGCTAAAGGGTTAAAGAAAACTAACCTAACATTGAGGCACAGTAATTAGAGAAGTCACATGATTCATGACAGGAGAGACCAGGTCAGGAGCTTGGCCTTAAACTTTGAAGGAGGGGTTGGTGAGATGGCTCAGTGGTCTAAAGCACCTACTTAGAACAAGCTTAGCAAAGCACAGGGACCGTTCAATCCTCCAGCACCACATACCAGCCAGCCCTGCCCCCTGGTGGGCTGAGCTGGCCACACACACACACACACACACACACACACACACAAATAAATAAATAAATAAATAAAACTTTGAAGGATAGGTACTTTTAGACATGAAAATTGTCTGTTTTCAAAAGTATAGTGATTATTGGATTAAGACAGTATGTAATTCTGCAGTATGTGGAGTTTGTTTCTGAGGAGGCTGCTTATGCCTCCCATTGACTTAGTTTTGCTCAGGAGCATGTGCTTGTGTCTATATACCTCAGTTTAGACAGAGAGAAAGGACAGATGAGCTGGGTCATTGTCTTTATGCCTGGGTCTGTCAGTCACCTTTGTTCTCTTGTTTAGAGGTAATCGGTGGGGAGTGTGTGGATCTTTAGGACAGTTTTATTGTACTTCAGAAAACTCAAGTAATGCTGTGTTGAAACAGTGAACAGAAGAGTCAGAAATTCCCAATTTTGTAACTTCATTCTGTGAAATTTTGATTAAGAAAAAGTAAAATTTTTGCTTAATCTGCTTGAAGAGATATGATCTAGGGGTAGAGTGGACATATAACTCAGTCGTAGAGCACCTACCTAGCATGTGAAAGACCATAGGTTCAATTGCCAGCAAAACAAAAGTTAAATGTTTCAAACTCTGATTAGCAATCTTCATAAAATAGATTCTTGCTAGGCTTGGTGGTTCATGCCTGTAATCCCAGCACTCCAGAGGCTAAGGCAGGATGATTGTTGTGAGACCAGCCTGGGCTACAAAGTGAGCTCAAGACCAGCCTGAACCACATAGCAAGATCCTATATCAAAAACATAATAAAATAAAATAAAATAGATCCTAGGGGCTGGGGAGATGGCTCAGTAGGATAAGCGCTTGACTGGCAAACACAAGGATCTGAGTTCAATTCCTGGTTCCGCAAAAAAAAAAAAACAAAAAACAAAACCTGGTACTGAAAAAAAAATTAAATAAATAAATAAAATAGATTCTTGCCTTCAATAAAGAATTCCTCATGCCCACTGGGCCTCTTAGTAAGACTCTGTCTTAAAAGGAAAAGTAAAAAGGTAGGGTTTAGTTCCCCATACAGGGGGTGGGGTAAGGCATGGCAGGGAGGAACCTGTTTCCTAGAAACAGGTACTTTTGAGGTCTCACTATAAGGTCAAGGGTGGCCTTGAACTCACTGGTAGTCCGGGTTAGCCTCAAAATTGCAGTGATGCTCCTGCCTCAGCCTCTGGAATGCTGGTATTACAGGCCTGTGCCAACACACTGAACTTAAAAACCAGTACTGGGCCAGGGAGACGGCTCAGTAGAATAAGTGCTTGCTTGGCAAGCATAAGGGCCTGAGTTCAAACCCTGGTTCTGCAAAAAAAAAAAAAAAGTTAAAGCTTTGGTGCCGGGGAGATGGCTCAGTGGAATAAGCACTTCCCTGGCAAGCGCAAGGGCCTGAGTTCAATCCCCAGTTCTGCAAATAAAGTAAAATAAATAAATAATAAAAACAGGTACTTTACAACACTCCCCTGCCCCACCGCCACTGCTGGGAATTTAACTCTAGGTCTTTGCATTAGGTTACCTACCCAGCCCTTCATTTTTTAAAAATAAGGTCTCATGAAATTTCTGAATTGCCCCGGCTGAGCTGAAACTTTGAAATCTTTCTCTTTTAGCTTCCAGAATTGTAGAATTTCAGGCATGCTGTATCACACTTACTCTCATTGTTTTATCCTCATATATGTACTTGAATTTCCATGTAAATTTTATTGAAAATGGGAAGGAATATAGTCTTAGCTGGGCATTGTGGTACACACCTGTAATCACAGCTCTTTGAGAGCCTGAGCAACTTAGACCCTTTCTCAAACCAAAAAATTAAAAAGGAATTAAGCATGGTGGCCCATGCCATAAATCCCATGACTCAAGAGATTGAGATGGGAGGATTGCCATGAATTCAAGACCAGCTTGAGATACATAGCAAGATATTGTCATAGGTAGGTAAGTCAGTCGGTAAGTAGGTAGGTAGGTAGATAGACAAATACAGATAGATAGGAGAATGGGAGAAATGGAGAGGGAAGGAGGAAGAAAGGAAGGGAAGGGCAGAGTGAGGAAGAGATAATGAGAATGAATGAATGAGAGTGAAAGGTATGTGTAGCTTGGTGAAAAGGTCCTGGCTTCAATCCCTAAATCCTGGAGAGGGTATGGTGAGGCAATAAAAGGATACAGTCTTACATATTTTGTAGTAACAGTGAGGAAATTGATATATCAGCATGAATATGGATGAAGAGATACAATGAAGGATAAAAAATGTTAACTATAGACTATAGATATATATGAGTATCACCACAGTTTTCACTTTTTCTAGGTTTTATTTTTTTACTTTTTATAATTGAATGTTAAGATAGGATATCCAATGTCATTAAGTATACCTAGAAGTCAAGAGTAATAGCATGATTTAAGATCTCAAAGTCTACATTCTACATTGATGGCCAGGTTTGTCTTTCTTGCAGGTTAAGTTCAGTGAACTAACCGTTGACATGTTCCGGATGTTACAAGCCCTCGAAAGGGAGCCAATGAACTTAGCCTCTCAGATGAACAAGCCTGGAATGCAGGTGATCTGCTTCCTATATTGCAAAGGTGGTTTCATTCTTGTTGTTTCTGCTCCTTATGGTGTTCAACAAATGCTAGGAAATGTGAACTTCTGGTTGGACACAGAGAAGTCAGTAAGCATAATCACAGTAACACTGAGGAAATGAAGAATACAGGGTAGGGAAGAGAAAGTAGGTAGTAATCATTCATCTGTCAAACATAGCTTGTATGTGTGCTGTTTTTTGTGTGTGAATATAGGAATCTGCTGACAAGCCTACCAGACGAGAAAACCCCCATAAGTATCTTCTCTACAAACCAACTTTCAGCCAACTCTACACATTTTTAGCAGCATCTTTTAAGGTAAGAGTGATCCAGTACTACTTACTACATGGCAAGGGGCCAGAGTTATAGCTCTGTGGTATAAGCACTTTCCTGGCAATTGCAAGGTCACAAGTTCAATCCCTGGTACCAAAAAAAAAGAAGTAATACATGGTATAAGTGTGCTGTAAGACAAATCTAAGTCGTTCTTCTCTAAATATTTGAATTAAAAGTTTGGGTAAAATGCAAAAGTTAAAACATACCTTTAGAATAACAGTCTTAGGGCTGAGGAGATAGCTTGGTGGCATAAGCGCCTGTGTGGCAAGCATAAGGTCCTGAGTTTGATCCCTGGTACCACATGCTGTGCAGGCCCTGGAACCAGGTGTGGTTGTGCACACCTGTAATCCCAGCACTAGTGAGGCTTGACAGGAGAATCACATGAGTCTGAACTGCATAGTGACACCCTGTACCAAAAAAAATTTTTTTAAATTAAAAAAGAAACAGTCTTAACATGGAAATTTTTGAAATGAATATTGCTTCATTTTGTTGTTGTGAATGATTCCTATCATGAATTAAGGAGAATATTGATTAATCTCTTTATTCCATAGTTTTATTACTAAATTACTTTAGGTTTTTGAGTTTTAAACTTCCCTTTATTGACGAGAATGTCGTCTGATTATACAGATAAATTTACTAGTTAATGCCGAACTGAAAAATAAGAGCAGAATATATAGTGTGCCATACATTTGGGCAGCTCTGTGAACCTTATTTTGAGTCACAGTCTCAGTAGTCCAGAATGGCCTTAAACTCACTATATATAGGCCAGGCTGGTATCAACCTCACGACAGTCCTCCTGCCTCAGCCTCTCGAGTGCTGGTATTACACACATGTGCCACTACTCCTGTTGAAACATCTTGATAATCTGAATTTTTTTTTTTTTTTTGTGGTACCAGGGATTGAACTCAGGACCTTGTGCTTGCCAGGCAAGCACTTATTCTACTGAGCTATCTCTGAAAGAATGATGAAAAATAGGAACATTCTCTACAAAGCTGAGGGGGAATCTGTCATATGTTCTAGATCTTTATCTGTGTATTTCATATTTACAAACAGCGTTCTCTAAATGTTGGAGATTGAAGCAGAGAATGTTTTTACAGGTTTGGGAGCCCGTGTACATTGCATATTAATAAGGAACTTTTGCTGTGCAGATAGTTTTAAGTCAAACCACCAATGGTGATTCTTCCCTCAGAAAATAGTTGTGGGTTAAATTCTTGTTTTATGGACAACTTTAAATGTCTTGACTTGGGGCCAGGGAGATGGCTCAGTAGAATAAGCACTTGCCTGTCAAGCTCAAGGGTCTGAGTTCAATCCCCAGTTCTGCTAAAAAGAAAAAAGAAAGTTACATGTCTTGACTTTTAAATATAACTCTTGATTTTCCCTGTTTTTTGTTTTGTATATGTAATTTTATTTAATTCCAGGAGCTGCCTGCCAATAGTGTGCTTCTGATCTACCTGTCAGCCACTGGAGTTTTTCCCACAGGTCGTTCTGATAGTGAAGGTACAATAAAGGAATGCTCCCTGTTGTGAGCAGGGCTTGAATTTTCTGTTTTCTACAAGATGGTGGCCCTTTGCTCACAAAACATCTCAGACATTCTATGCAGGCTTCCACATTTAAAACCTGGTCTATCTTTGATTTTACAGTCTTGCAGATATCCCAGTCTGTTTTATATCCTGAAATATTATACTTTGAGGCCCACAAACCACTAGAAAATTTATAAGTTTAATACCTGATTCACTGTCAGTTTTCCCCTGAAGCATTACATGGAATTTAATGTTTTAAATTGAAAAGGATAATGGATAAACAAGCCTTAAATATTTTTGAATCTTTATTGCAATACGTCTTTGTAGAAATCAGTATACTTTTGTAACTGTGAAAGTTCAAGTCCTTGTTATGATTTTTTTAATGTTTTTTATTGATTTATTCTGTAGAATATCAGGATGCTGTCTCAGAATAAAATCTTAAAGTTGTCCAACATGTATGAGTCCAAAAATTGGTCAGAATAGATGAGTAACTTAGATTTAAATAAGGCAATTAAATCTTTGGGGAAAATTTTTTTCTTAACATTTTCCCACTCATCTGTTTGTTGAAATCTGCATTCCTTTATAAAATGCATGCCCCTGCCATCTTCCTTGCATGACCTACAAATTCTTTTAAAATGTGAATGTAAAAAAAAATCTAAATTTATAGTCTCTGTCATTGTAGTGATATTTTAAAATAATATAATACTTTTAACAGATAAAGATTTTACTCTGCATTGGTCTTTTAAAGATAATTTGATAAACCAGAGATTTAATGTTTGATTGAAATGGAAAAGTAAGGATGAACAGAGCAGATCTCTGCTCCATTAATCTGGAGGCGTGCTCTCCATCTATCCCGAAATGGGATGTAGTAGATTCTTGTTTTGTTTCTCATTTTATGCTGTTTGAAGAACTGCTGAATAATTAAAAGCCTTTTAAAAAAGAAATTGATACCAGCAATATGCTGAAATCATTTAAATACTATATTAAAATTTTAATTATTAAAATGCTTTGTAATTATCTTCACTGTACAAGTGAGATATTAACACAGTACTTTTGAATTTAAACATCAGTTCAGAGTTGCCCTCCAGTTGAAGTCTAGGGTTCTTCCTTTTGTTTTTATAGGTCCTTATGATTTTGGAGGTGTACTTACTAATAGTAACCGAGATATTATAAATGGAGATGCTATCCATAAACGAAATCAATCCCAGAAGGAAATGCACTGGTATGTATTCTGCCACCTCCCTTCATTATAAAAATTGTAGCTCATTTTCCTTTAAAAAAAAGTAAGTGAAATGGGACCTTTTTCCTAGTACTAGAAAAGTTCCCCAGCCCCGCCCCCTGGTGGGCTGAGCTGGATACACACACACACACACACACACACACACACACACACACAAATAAATAAATAAAATTTAAAAAAAAAAGAAATATATGATGGATGGGGCCGGGGAGATGGCTCAGTAGGATAAGCGCTTGACTGGCAAACGCAAGGATCTGAGTTCAATCCCCGGTTCCACAAAAAAAAAGAAAAGAAAAGAAAAAAAGAAATATATAATGGAGTGCTCGCTTTGGCAGCACATATACCAAAATTGGAATGATACAGAGAAGATTAGCATGGCCCCTGCGCAAGGACGACACGCAAATTCTTGAAGCGTTCCCTATTTTTTTTTTTAGAATACTTTGCTGAGTTTACACACCTATAATATTCAAATAATGGAACTTAACAAAAAAAGGGGATACAGATGAATGTCCATTTTGTATCTGTTCAAAGTGGTTAGGATAGATATATAGTTACATTCTCTTAATGAATAGAGGGATTTGTTCTAATAGTGTTTGTAAATAGGATATCATGTCCGCATCTTGTACAGCAATTAACCTCTAGGAAGAATTATGCAATGTGTTAATTATTGAAACTGTCCTACCAATTTGGTTTGAAACTGTCTCATTGCTATTTGTTTCTCAATAAAATTATAGAAAAAAAAGAAATATATAATGGATATACAAAATGGTTCTGAACAGTACTAATCATGAGGGAAATGCAAATTAAACAGTACTGCTTCTCACTTGCTAGGGTAACTATTATCAAAAAGAAAAGAAATCGGGCGGGGAGATAACTCAGTAGGATAAGTGCTTGACTGGCAAACACAAGGATCTGAGTTCAATTCCCGGTTCTGAAAAAAAAAAAAAAAAAAGAAAGAAAAAAAGAAAGAAAAGAAAAGAAATACCAAGTGTTGATGAGCATGTTGAGAGCAGGGCACATCTGGAGACTGTTTGGAATAATGTAAGTTAGTGTAGCCATTATGGAACACAGTTAGAAGCGTGTTAAAAATTAAAAATATAGCTGTCAGATAATCCATAAACCCCATTTCTGGATATACATCCAAAGAAATGAAAATGTGTCACTTAGTAAAGTATATCAAGGGGCTCTTTGCACTGCCAGTTTGTTTCAGTTTTCATAATAACTGAGGTATAGGGGCAACCTAAGTGTTCATTGTAGTAGTACATGCATACCTGCTCACATATCAGAGTATTTTCTAGCCATGAAAATAAAGGAAATCTTATGTAAGAACCTAGAGAACAGTAAGTGGAATAAGCCAGCCACAAAAAAATAAATACTGCGTAATTTCACTTACATGTAGAATTTTAAAAAGTTAAATTCATAAGAACAAGTGGAAAGGTGGTTTTCTGGCTCTGGAGTTGGGGAAAAGAGGAAGATTTGGTCAGAGGATACAGTCTTTCAGTTATGAGCAAGTTCTAGGATC